TCACACACTGAACTCAAACCCCAGAAGGCAAGATACATCTGTGAGGCAGAGAACATTTTACAGCATAATGATGACTGTCAGAGGTGCTGATTGACTAAAGTGGATGCATTTGAGGATGTATATTTAGACTTTTAACAAATATCCATGTGCTGGTTTGTGTAAGAATCACTCACACAGCTTTCCTACTTTTTCTTAAACTTATTTATTTATTTATTTTTAATCTAATTTATATCAACAAGTATAGCTGTACATTTCCACCACATATGAAAAATGCTTTGGTAAATCATACATATGACACTGAAAAGTCATATTTATGAGATAAGTCAACATTATGAGTTGTCAAAATTATGACATAGAAAGTTGAAATTGACATAAATGTCATAATTCTGAAATAAAAAGTCACATTTCTGAGAAAAAAAGTCAAAATTATGAAATGAAAAGTGAAAAATATGATATTAAGATTTCAAAATTATGAGATACTAAGTCATAATTATGAGCTTAAAAGTTGAAATTGAGATGAAGTCATAATGATGTCATAATTTTGACTTAGTATGTAATTAGTATTAGACTTAATATTTCCCCTTTTTGTCATAATTTTGACGTATCTCATCATTTGGTAATTTTGAATTACCAAAGCATGTTTTTTTCCCTTACAAAAAGTAAAAGTTTATGAGAAAAATAAACTGAAATTATGCCATACTAAGTCAAAACTATCATATCATATTTATGAGGTAGTCAAATTTGATTAAAAAAATGAAATTATGAGATAAAAAGTCACAATTATTACAAAGTCTAATGTTTGACTATTTATGACTTAGTATCTCATCATTTCAACTTTTTATGTCATTAATTCGACTTATTTTATAATTATGACTTTTTATGGCATGCTTTGTTTTCTTATGTGGCAGAAATAGACTTCCATGTGGACAATGGTAGTTTGTTTCATTCTAAAAGCAGAAAGTTAGAGAGTATGGCAGGCAGTTAAGGAGGAAAAGGAAGTTTCATATCATCCATGTGTTTTGGTTTCTAATCAGTCAGCCCTGGACGTGGGAGTCCACCGGAAAATTCAACTTCTCTCATAACTTAATTTTTTATTTTTTTTTAATAAAGTCATACAAGTTTGGAAAAAAACATAAGAAGTTAATTTTTTGGCAAACTATCCATTTTTATCAGAGCTGCATCAAAGTAACATTTTCCTTTTATTATTTTCTCTGATAGGTCTATAAATGTCCGTAGATAAGTTGAGTATGTTTGGATTATTATAAAATACAGGCCGACACATCTGTGGAGTTTCCACAGATCGATGGAGAAAGGGCATCATAAAGATGGTAAAATAAAGTGCAGGATGATCTGGGCAGAAGAAGGGAAACACACAGATACAGGAAGAGGAGGAGCAGGGAATGGAGGCTGTTTCCTTTCATACCCAGCGTGAGGCTTTGAGAAAGATCATACAGACAGAGGATCCATACTTCATACTGATGGCTCTGTTGTGTTTTGATGAATGTGTAAGGTGCATATATAATGCTATACTGTGAGACTGTGTGTCATTTTGGAGATAATAGACCTACTTCACTCACTTTATCTGTATTTGGTTGCATGTATGATCACTAACATGGCCTCAAAGTCAAGTCAAATTAATTTGTATAGCACTTGTCACAATACACCCTGTATCAAAACAGCTTTACAAAAAATCATGATGTTAATGTCTTTTAATACCTTTATATATTCAAGTCACGTTCATTGGATTAGAGCTGTGTCATAATATAGCTTACATTTTGCAATGATGTAAACAATCAAGCAGCTGAGACTTGCTATATACCCAGCTAATAGGGAATGTCCTCAGAACATGCTGGCAAGGTTCCCTTAAAGTTATGAACCAATGTTTGTTCAATGTTCTCTGGTCTTTAACAATGTTCTCAAAACGTTAGCACTTATTCATACACTATTTATACATTGTTCATGGAAATGTTTTTCTTGAAACGTGTTTGTCTAGTGTTTTTTTTTATGTTACTACTTGTTTCAGAGAACATTCAAAAGTAACATTACCATAATGATTACAATACATGTTTCTTTAACAGTCGCACAATTTTAAATGTTTCTAAAACATTTCGCCCTACATGAGTTTACTGTATGTATGTGTGTGTGTGTGTATATATACATACAACTTTTTATATATAGAAATAGGTAATAAGTTACATTTTACAACAAAATAAACAATCAAGCAATTGAGATTTGCAATATTATCCAATATATAGCCTGTAAGAAGTTCTGATGAGAACTGAGCTGAGCTGCTTTATAGATTAATTAAACTCAGTTTATAATCGATGAACTTATTAACCTGAACTGAATCAACAATTAACTTATTTCAACTGAATATTGACTGTTTACTATCATCTCTATAGAGCTGCTTTACAGTAGAATTGAATTTTGTTTGCATTATTGAATCACTATTTTCTTGTTTATCCCTATAAAGCTATTTTAACTCAATCTGTATTGTATAAAGTGCTATATAAATAAAGGTGACTTGGCTTGACTATAAAAGTGTGCGATAATAGTTAATAATAGTTAATATTATAGTATATAGTATAGGTTACATAGGTTACTTCAACAAAAATGATCCTGTGATTATTTTATTGAAATAATGTTGATTGTCAACTGATGGACCCATAGTTATTTTTCCATTTATTTTTTCCTAAAGTAATTAATACAATTGCAAAATAGCATTCATTTCTGTGCCTCAGCCGTGTTTAATGCACTGATAAAATGTACACATTGAATGCAAAGTAAGTCGCTTTGGATACAAACCTCTGCCAAATGCATAAATGCGATTTTAAAAACATCTTATATTTTTCAACTTATATATCGCTGAATGTAAATGAATGAAGTTTATGTCATGATAAATTATAGGAAATATCTATTTGAAATGTGTCACAGACTTTCTAATTTCTCCTCACCTACTCCTCAGTTTTATATTCCTGTAGTGAACACACACACACACACACACACAAACACAAAATTCTTCTCTGACTATCTCTGCTACTCCAGAGTGACAACAGGCAAGTTTTTGGCCATGTTGACACAAGCATAAAAACCTCATTAGATCCATTCTGAGCTTATCAGGGTTTTTTTTATGGCATTATATCACGTTCCCATTGGATACTGCACTGCTTTTGTCATGACACTCTGGACTCTGGCTGCTGCTAATGTTGGTTAAATGAATTCAATCCCACCTCAGAAAAGGTGACATTATGACACCTCACTTTTTCTTTTACTTCTGCTGATAAGAGTAGCCTATGATGCTCAGTACTGTAATTAAAATGCACAACGACTGAAAAGAAAGCCCTACAAAACACTTACCAAACTTTGATAAAGAAACAGCATGAGAGAGCTCTTTGTTTGCCACTAATAAAATACTGCAGTTAAAGTGCTTATCTCATATTTAAACACATAATCTCTCGTTTTATCTGAAGCCATTAGTTATTGGCAGGCTTTTTCTTGACATGATCGAATTTCACTTATTTAATACCAGGTCCACTGTCAACTCCTCTGTTAACCACTAGATGGCACTATAAGACCACCTTTTTCAGTTGACAAAAAATTAAAATAAATCATGTTAAAGCTGCAGTCCGTGACTTTTGGCGCTCTAGCGGTTGAACTGCGTGCGTCTTGCGGAAGAACATTGTAGCCGGAGCTACTTCTCTCTGTATGTCTTTGGCGATTCACGCAGGTATGTGTTACTCCGCAGCGGTACCTACCCGAACCAGTCTAAATAGTCCGAATATAAACACTTATTATAGGTGTACCGTAGTGATTCACGACAAGCCAAAAACATTGTTTGGAAAATGGATTCATGGTGTACTCGTTTATTATATAAATTTTGTACATTTTGTACAGCTTTAAAGCAGCACTATGTAACTTTTTCTGTGTTCAAAATTTGCTAAATGTATATAACAAGCGAGTACATCATGAATTCATCTTCCAAACCGCGTTTTTGTCTTATTCCGAATCACTACGGTACACTTATAATAAGTACTTATATTTGGACTATTGTAGCCTGGTCGGGTCGTCGCCGCTGCGGAGTAACACATACCTGCGTGAATCGCCATAGACATAAACTTAGAGAAGTAGCTCCGGTTGGAATGTTCTTCCGCGGGATGTGTGCAGTTCTGTTTATTAACCGCAGGGTATGTGATTTTTCAAAAACACTTTAGAAAACTGATTCGGGCCGAATAGCAAAACAAACTTGAGGCCAATCAGCAGTAAGGGGCGTGTCTACTCGTGATGTGGAGGAGAG